ATTCCTGCCGCAAACCAGAACCACCACCACCACCACCACCATCAGCAGCCCGCGCCAGCCCCGCAGCCCGCGCCACCCCCACCTGGCTGCATCGTGTGCACTTCCTGCGGGTGCAGTGGCAGCTGTGGCTCAAGCGGCCTGACTGTCAGCTACGCTAACTACTTCCAGCACCCGTTCTCTGGGCCATCGGTGTTTACCTTCCCCTTCCTGCCCTTCAGCCCCATGTGCAGCAATGGCTACGTCAGCGCCCAGCAGTACGGCGGTGGCTCCGCCTTCCCTGTCGGACACACCCCCTACAACAGCAGCGTCACCCCTGACCCGGTCCTGGGTGGCCCGTCCACGTTCGCGGTGCCACCCATGCAGAACTTCATGGCAGGGACAGCAGGAGTGTACCAAACCCAAGGCTTGGTTGGCAGTAGCAACGGCTCCAGCCACAAAAAGAGTGGCAATCTGTCTTGTTACAACTGTGGGGCTACCGGTCACCGCGCTCAGGACTGCAAACAGCCGTCCATGGACTTCAACCGGCAAGGTAAAGTCACACGACGGCCTGGCCTCAGGCCGCCCCACTTTCTGTTCATAGCAAAATACCGTCTTTTGGAATGTTCTTGAAAACGTGAACGGTAGGCTGTGAAGTCTCCGAAGGGGGAACTGTTGGTTCTGGGGACCGTCTTCGTGGTCTCAAGCCAGCCCTTACTCTGAAGGTGGGACCGTCTTCGTGGTCTCAGGCCAGCCCTTACTCTGAAGGTGGGACCGTCTTCGTGGTCTCAGGCTGGCCCTTACTCTGAAGGTGATGGACTGGCTGTGGACAGGGCGGCGGTGGGCCCTGCTGCCGCCGGTCGCATGCCCCGAGCGGCCGGGGGGGGGGGGGCCACGGCACGGGCGGGCCGCCGGTCGCATGCCCCGAGCGGCAGGTGCGCGTAGTCCATGCCACGGGCAGGCCCGGCCCGCGGCGCTGTGCTCCTGTCCCGCTCTGCCCCAGGCGGCTGTGGCAGTGCCGTGCCCTGGCGCCCTTGTGCCGCGCCCCTGCCTTCCGCATGTCGCTCTAGAAAGATTAGATCGGGGATTGAGAACGTTGGTCCCAGCCTTGTGACTGGTCACTGTGCAATCTTGACATGTCGCCTGGCCGCTGCTGACTTCCAGTAGCTTTGAGGTTGCCCTAGATCCGGACTCGCGGCCCCCGGACGTCATCAGACACAGGCACCTCTGGCCCAGCTCCTCTGAGGTTGGGTGGGGAAGCTGTGGGGCGGCAGGGTCTGAGCCTTTCTCGTGGCCACTTCTCTTCACGGGGCGGGGGCCCTGTCTCCTGCAGCATAGGGGACAGCTGGACCGGCCTCACCTGCCCTCTCCTGCGGTGTGCAGCCTGGTCCCCAGAAGCACAGAAGTGGGTTGGGACTCTTCTCCACCACTCTGTGCTTGCCTGGCTTAGAAACTTGTAAGCTCATGTCCATTTGGGGGTACTGGTGAAAGCAGGCAGCCCAGACGGAGATTCCAGACGGGGCTGCACGGATGGGGAAGGCCGGTTGGTGCGCAGGGTTCCACAGTGACGTGGATTTGATGTCTCTCTCCTTCCCTCTAGGTACTTTTAGGTTGAAATATGCCCCTCCAGCAGAGAGTCTGGACTCCACAGATTGATGCTTTTCTCTGGCGACAGAACATTAAGCCATGGAGACTAAGGAAAATCAAATACAAAACTGAGACGTCTAGTTGCTGTTGAGCTTAATATTTTTAATCCAAAGGTGCTTTACTTTACTAGACTGGATAGAAACCTAGCGTAGACGTGTTATCAGACTCGAATTTATTGCCAAAATCCTAGGCTGGAGCTTGATGTCAGGACTGCCTAGCGGATACCTCCAAGACTGGGGAGACAGGCACTCTGCACCCTCGAGTGCGGTGCGGAGACCTCCCTGAGGCTCCCGCCGAGCATTGTCGTTGGTCCTTCCAGGCTCACACGTGATTCCAGGGCAGCTACGCGTGATCATCGGAATCGAGAACTGAAGGCTGGAGTTCCTCCGTTAGACTCGGGACACCCCTGGGCTAGGGAAGATGTCGACTTGCTTTGTTCCGTTTTCTTCCTGAAGTGATTAGGCACTAATCTCTGGGATTTTTAAGGATTGCACTACCGAAGAATGTAACCTGATGTGGATCTCTGCAGTTCTGGGAGACACGCTCCTCTGATAAACCCGTCAGTGCAAGAGACTCAAACGAACCACATTTAAAGAGTCGGCACCAGCAGGCTGCTCGATGGAGCATGCCACAGGGGTCTTAGCACTTCCCGCCTCGTTCAGACACTCGTAGCGGTTTCAGGTTTTTCATTGTTTTCCTGCAAATAAATTTAAACTACATCGTAAAATAGAAATAGTTTACTCGCAACAACTTAATTTCTAAGGGTCCAAGTCCCAGAGAACCCATAGTCGTCAAAACTTTGAGAATCCTTTCCTTCCCAGCTGTTCAGGGGCTTTGAGTCCTGAGATCTTCCACCACAGACACTTGTAGCCAGGGCTGCGGCAGCGAGCTGGCTGCGGGAGGCTTCCAGTCCTTAGCGGTGTGTGCAAGGCTTTCTCGCGGGCTCCCCAGGACTCCAGCCCCAAGGCTTCCTACTAGTGGAGTCACAGTCGAGACAGACATTTCAACAATAATGCATTTCTATCACTTATGAGCAAAGATCTGGAATTTCCTCCCTCAGCTTCTGTATTCGGCTGTGTATTGATAGTTAATTCCGTTAAAAATTACCTGGAAAACTTCAGTAGAAGGTGGTAAGACTCTAAAAGAGGCCATACAGACAAGACAGAGCTGCAGGATCTGTAGACGTTTGCTTTTTTTTTTTTTTAGGGAAAAGTCCTCACTGATGTCTAAATTTCAACCCATTGGTATGAAAGTATTTTGGTCTGAAATTTAGGGACTTGAATATTCAAGGTTAAAGGGAATTTTCTGCTTAAATATTTAAAACACTAGAGCTTTCAATATTAAAATATTGATTGTTAAAAGTCTTGCCAGGGATTTTCCAGTTGAATATTTATTTACAAAAGAGAAAATGACAATATTCAGACCATTCTTAAAAATGGGACAATCAGCCTTGTGCAAAATTGGTATAAATCAAAAGATACCCTAGTTTGAGGCATTGTGATGTGAAGCTTCACGTTTTGAGATCAGTTTCCTGACCTTGTGGAAGCAAAAGCAGAAGGTTGGTGCATTTTAATGAAAGGCTTTGAGTAGAATGTGTTCGTTTTCCTTTAGTGGTTTTATTTCTATGCAACGCAGAATTGCCAGACCTCTGTCTTCTCCTCTCTTCATGGTACACAGTGTGGCATGCAGTTCCACGGTCTCGCGATGCTACTGCACAGCTGTAAGGGGACTGTTACATGGACCTCTTCCATAAGAAACACTACAAAATGTCAGAATATCAAGAACTGACACAATTTTGCCTTAAAGAGTACCGGACTGGAACTTGTATTATGTTAAAGGAAGACTTAAGAGTGTTCATTGCTGTTTACGATTTTCCTATCTCTGAAGGCCATCACAGAGGCCTGGGTATGTGCTGAAAGCCAAACTTTTCAATTTTTTGGTTTTTTTTTTTAAACAAAGAAATATTTTAAATAAATCCTATTTCAACACAGTGAAAACGCTGAAAACTGTCTCATAGCAAAAGAAAGAAGTCATATTTAAGTTTTTTTGTTTTAGTGGTCAGAGGGGAATGAAAGTGTCTGTTGTTACCCTTGTAATTATTTTGATAACTATTAGAGGTCAACCTTAAATATGACAAAAACTTAGAACAGAAACTTCGATTTGAAGCACGACATTCCAAGTTGAGGTTAGAAAGTGCTGTGCTGAAGTCGTTCTGGCTGTGTCCCAGTCATCAGGGGCCTTGGAAATCCCAGTTGTCTTGAGAGCACGTGAGCGGTGGGGTGTCTCCGGTGAGGCTGCTCGGAGTCCAGAATCGTGACAGAGCGACTGGACGCACAGGTGGAGACGGTTGAGCTGCCACTCCGGGAGATCTCAGTGAGTCCCGCACTTGGACTTGAGAACGTGTGCTGCAGTATTCTCTGATCAGTTTCTCTCCGAAAGCAACCAAAGTCAGTGAGCTTCCAGAGCATTTGGCGTTCCGACAGGAGACGTCGCCCCTGGTTAGAAACAACACACCGGCCCTCACGCTTAGTCATCTTCCTGAAATCGTGGTCCAGTCTCAGAATGCCCTGGCAGCCATGAGGGGGTGGCAGCGGCCATCCTACCCTGTGTGTGGTCTGCCGTATGTTAAAAATGGTTCTAACCCCATGTTTCTATCTCTACGAATGGGGAAAGTGGGATGTACAGATCAAAGTAGAATATAGTGTTGGGATAAAACAAATATTTACTCTTTTGTTTTATTTTTTAAGCAAAGCACTCACTTTTCTACCTTGCTTTCTAACTTTCACTTCGTGGTAATACCGAAGATTGGAAGATGTTTAATGTTAGGACTCTTCATTGCTAAAGAGCACTGAGGAAATGGGAGCTAGCACTTAAAAATAAAGACAAATGTTTTCTCTCGAACGCATATATGTGATTGGGTTTTAAAAACCAGCATTGTCTATCCTCTCCAAACGATCACAGGAATCAGCTTGTTAATATAGTAGTTAGTAAGTTCCGTATTTTAAGTCAGTAGAATTCTAGGTCGGATTGCAAGAAGTCCGCATAGTTTATATTACAGACTGCGGACCCAGGCCCCAGGCTCGGCGGAGTGGCCGCAACTGCCTAAATACCACCCAGCTGTACGCGGCCTCCACTCACCACCGCCTCACGCCGGCCGGTATCGCGGGAGGCGCTTGCTGACTGGGGGCTATGCTGTACCCGCTCGCTCCCTGCCACTTGTCACCCTTCTGGTTTTTATTTTCTACCTTGCTAGTTTTACATTCTAATAACATGCTGGAGTCTTAAAAGGCTGTAAGGGGAACCATCTCCCTGCTCAGTCGACCACCTGTCCAGGAGGGGCTCGTGGGGCCTGAGTGGGGTCGACAGGTTTCCAGAGTGCAGGCGGTTCCCAAAGAACGAGTTGGGGACAGTTCAAAAGCCGTGGTTTCGGAAGAGGCGGAATTGTTGAGAGGTCCCAAGGGTCTGGGTGCAAGGGAGCATCTTTAATCAACACTCGCAATATTCTAGAAAACCATATACTGTGCTGGTTGAGGCCAAAGGTCAATGTTACTACACTATTAACCGAAGGAGGGGCGCCACGGGTCGACACCCTCGACCCCACCTCCAGTGTGTTGTATTAGCCCTCATCACGTGTAAGTTCTTACATGCACAAAAACGGCAGGCTTCGGCACTGAAGCTGAGCCTTGTGTACTCAAGACTCCACAGCTTCTATTGGACATGTTTGCTTTTTAGGAATGAAGGAAAATTCTCCCATTTTTGAGCCATTCTTTTGTCAATTCTACAAAATTGCATGTAACTTTATAAATATTTTTAAAAGATATAGTTTTGTAAATATTTAATATTCTGCTAATTTGATTTTGAATTGTAAATGTCAAGTATTCTGTTTTTGGGGTTTTTATGTTTTATTATACTTTGTTAAAAAGGAAAAGTTGTACATTTTTAGAATGTTTTTATGAGTAAATTTAATGTACTGAAAATAAAAATTTTAAAAAAGGCTCAGTGTTTGACTTTAATAGGCCTGTTTCATGGAACATGAAGCACAGATATTTTTCAAATAGATCATAATTCTTGATCTCCACACTTGGGATTTAACCATTCCTACCTTTTTCTCAGATTTACAAAAAGGATACCTGGTCGTAAGTCCATTTTCTATCACAGTTCCCAGTTTAGGGGGAGAGAGTCCTTGCTAAGAAAAGAAATGTAAATTCTTGACTTTTGGGTTCAAGATGTCCCCGTCTACACTCCATGACAAAGCCAGCATTAATAGAGGCAGGTGCCGCAGGAAGCTGGTGTTGCTCGAGCGAGGGAGCACGCCTGTGTGGGGTGGGTGGGGGCAGGGCACGCGGACCACAGCCACCAGGGCAGCTGGCTGGCACCGTCCCGCAACTAGAGCGCTCTAATGTAAAGAAGGGCAGCTTTGTGGCACAGGGCCACATTGTCCCAAGCCTGTGCTCAAGTTCTCATTTCAGGCAGACCATGGCAGGTGAAAGCAGGAGACGGCAGCTTCTGATGGGAAAGGCCTACCTAGCAGCCCGTGCAGCTGAAGGCTGTCGGGCATACGGGCACATCTGTGAGCAGTCGCCGTGGAAGAGCCAAGCGTGGCCTTAGCTCCCTTCCTTGTGTCCACGCACTAGTGTCCACTTAACTAACTCCTGTCGGGCCTGGTTTCTCTGGCACCACGGCTCGGCTGTGTGCTGTGACCCCACCCCCACAGTCTTAGCTCCGTTCATGCTTGTTTGACCTCAGGGGCAACCGGTTTAGAAGACCAGCAGTTGGCGTGATGGCTGTCGCTGGACTCCCACGTAGTCGACTGCAGCTCGAGTTCTGGAGGCTTAAACTCGGGCGTGCCCAAGATCCTGAGAGGAGAATGGAGAAGGGATTGTGGGGTGGCCATTCCCCTAGGGGGGTGATTTCTCTCTGGCGAATGCACGTGCCCTATGGCAAAAACCTCCCTCCCCCCCAAAAAAATGGTTTGGAGCAGGTGATGACACGTTTACTCCCACAAAATATCACTCTCCTTTATACTTTATAGCAGTTCTCAAGAGAGTTCAGTTTTGGGGACCAGCAGATGGCGTAATTGTTAGGTGGAGAGCCTCCACGTAGCTGACCGTGGTCCGAGTCCTAGACTTCTCAGCTTGAAACTCACGCCAGGTGTGGGTGCATGTGCACCCAAAACCCCGAGGGGAGAACGGAGAAGGGACTGTGGTATGGCCATCCCCGCCATGGGGTGATTTCTTGCTTTCTGTGTTGGTCTCCTGTGAGCACATGTGCCCTATAGCAGGAATTTTGTTTTTAAGATTGGTTTCTGCTATAGGGCGCATGCACTCACCAGAAAGAGAGACAGAAAGTGAGAAATCACCCCCTGGGGGGGATGACCATGTCGCAATCTTTTCTCCTCCATTCTTCTCTTGGGATCTTGGACACGCATGCACACAAGCAGGGCCTGAGTTTAAGCCACCAGGTCCGGGACTTGAACAGCTGTCAACTACATGGGACTCCAGTGACATAGCCATTCCACCAACTGCTGATCCCAGCAAAAATCCTTAAGGAAAAAAAATTAGTTTTATAAAAGCAAGACCTAGGGACCTGAACCAAGGCAAAGCAAGTGTCCATGACAAGGCTGAAACCTCCAAAGGTGGCTGACTCTCCACATGAGCACTCTCCCTTACACGGCAAAACCAGTCTGGATGCTCCTTTTTGGGAAGGCAAGAGCCTGCTTGGCTGTGAAGCAGTATCAAAGATAGGAAGTCTCAGATACCGATCCCATGAAACAGCTCTGCGGACAGTGTTTAGTTGTGCCTTTATTCACTTTACTTCATTAAAAATGCACTTGGTTTTAGAGATCCTATAAAGTGACCACCCATTAAAGCAGAGTATAGGTCATCCCTCCAAGTGTGGCATTTTTGAAAAAAGCAGTATTTCTTACAGGAATTTTACTGATCACACAGGATTTAGAAGAATGTCAGATACAATGACATGAACAATCTAAACAGGACAGGCTGATTAAGAATTTACATAATGTAAAAATATACACATTGAAAGCCGTGTGGACAGATACATGCAGTGGGGAGAGTTGCCGACAGGAATCTCTTTAGTGATCCGTTGAGGGCCCAGTTGCAGTAATATCGCTTTCCCCTCCATTACAGCAAACGACTTTCACTAACAGACTCAGGTATTCCACTCAAGTCTACATACACAGGGGCGAACTGTGACCTGCTACACGTACAGTCTCAGACTGCGTGACTCGGATCTTTCTGTGACGCTCCCAAGAAAACAGCAATAGCCCCATGCAGGTGGCAGGAAGCACTGGTCTTTTATTCCAGGTTGAATTTGGAAAATGTTTAAGTGTTGACATTATTTTGTAAAGAGCATCTGTCTGCTTATGCTACGTTTTCTTTACAGCTGACATGCACTAGAGGGGAAGAACCTGATGGTCTGACTTAACAGTGAGAACTACTCTTCAAAAGGTAAGAACCTTTTAATAAGATACTCTAGCTACATAGTTAACAAAAATACAGCTTTAAACCAAAAGGCAGAAGGAAGTACATGTGAAATCCAGCGCTTCAGTTTTACTGTTCTGTAGTCGCTATCTCTGCCCTGAAGGACGACATCGATAAAATTATTTTCCAAAGAGGCACTAGTTTGAAGTCTAAGAGAAAATCCCAAACAGAAGAAACGCCACTTTTTTTCTTGGGACTTTTAAGAAACTAGACAAAAACAAAATCATTCAAGGTTCCTATGAAGCAGTGCTATCTGTCTGTAGCTGTCTAGAGAACAAATCAAAACACCGCAAGCAGGGGGCTTAGGTGTACGTCTGTCAGCAATCAGGAGCCCGGGGCAGCAGCTTACTACTGGCTGCTGCTGCCCCCTTGCTCCTGCTCTTGTGCCAGCTGTTAACGGCAAACGTGTTGGGGGAGGAGTGGTTATCCGTGACACCTTATGCTTAAAGCTTCTCTCAGGGAGATCTCTCTAGCTGAGTAGAAGCCGCCTATAAAAAGGTAGTTCTGCTCAGAAGGAAGACTCCTACCACTCTGAATGCCTGTTAAGCTCCCACTCACAATGCAGGTTCCTACTGGGGGAAAAAAGAACATTAAAATAACTTAAGGTCTATTATATTGGCAAATTAGAATGCAAAGTATTTTATTTTTAAGCCTCTAAAGTTTTAAAACAAGGTGGTCTAGGTTAAATAATAGAGTCTTCCAAAGCTGAATTCGCTCATTTGGAGCTCAGTTTTTCTGCTTGAAATACAAAAACAACTTCCTAAAACTCCTAGGTGGGAACACTACTGTTTTGATGATCTGTGTGACTAGATGAACTTGATCAATCTCAGTTGGTAATATCCCTTTTTTCCTTGGTAGGGTTTTAAATTGTATAGCAGCTGCCTTTTTCTAGTCTTACACTGACGGTTTCCTTCCAAACGTCTCCTGGGAGGCGTAGACCATGTACAGGAATCCATCTTCATCCTTCTCACTTTCATATACTTCAGAGATGGGCGTGGACACGCTCACCATGCTGTGTCCGTTCACCAGTAGGAAGAAGGCTTGGTTAGCATTGAGTTGTAGGCGCCTTCTGTTAAAATAAATATGCAGAAAAACACTGTAAGTAAAGAGCGCGTGTCAAAACTACCATTTCTGGATGCTAAAATACTGCACTAAAATTTCATTGGGCCAGCCAATGTCGTAGTGGTTAAAGCAGCTGAATCCCACGTCTGACCATGTGGTTCAAGTCTTGACCTGGTGACTTCAGAAACACACGGGTGTGTGTGCGTGCATGCTCAAAATCCCAAAAATTAGAAACGGAGAAAGGAGGACTGCAGTGTGACCACCCCGCAGGAGACGCTCTCTCTCTCTTTGGCAAGTGCATGCACCCTCTTGGCAAAATTAAAAAAAAAAAAAAAAGATATTTAAAATGCTGCTTCTGGCAAAATAAAGATAACTCGAGCATTCTCATGAAACATGGGACTTTTTCTACCTTTACATTCATGATCGATATTCCTACAAATCATGAATAGATTATACTTCCTCTCTTCTTTTTTTTTTTTTTTTTTTTTTTTTTTAAAGAGGTTTTTTCTCTTCTTTTCGCAAGGAGAGACAGAAAGAGAGAAATCCCACATACACACACCTAGGGGGGTGGCCATGCCACAATCCCTTTTCCATTCTCCTCTCAGGATTTGGGCATGCATGTACATACACCTGGTGTGAGTTTCAAGCTGCCAGGTCCAGGACTTGAACCACAGGCGACTATGTGGGAGTCCAGTGATATAACCCTTATTACGGCATCCGCTGGTCCCCTTATTCTGTTCTTTTATTTTTTTTGGGGGGGGAGAAGTTTTCACTATAGGGCGCGTGCGCTCACCAGACAGAGACAGAGAGAGAGAAAGTGAGAAATCACCCCCCAGGGAGGATGGTCACGCCGCAATCCCTTCTCCATTCTCCTCTCGGGATCTTGGGCACGCACGCACACGTGCCCGGCGTGAGTTTTAAGCCACCGGGTCTGGGACGCGAACCGCAGTCAACTACGTGGGAGTCCAGCGACATAGCCATTACGCTAACTGCTGGTTCCCGCCCTTATTCCGTTCTTGAAGGCAGGTTTTATTCGTTTGTTGTGATCAGAGGTCACTTGCGCTAGATGGGGTACAGAGACTGGGGTACATGCCCAACAAGGCACGGTCACGCCCCAGTCCTTCTCCCACCCTGTTAGGTCTGGGACAGGCACGTACCTGTTCTTTAACCCCAGGGCTGGGATTCAGAGTCCGCCATGTGGGATCTGGTTCCCAATGCACAATGCTTAACCACTGTGCATGAGGCCATCCCAGAGGGCAGCTCTAAAACTAGTATGCTGTCTCAATAGCTATTAGTGTCTGATCTGAGGAAAACTGTTCAAAGTGTAACTTACAGTTTGATCTAATAATGAAGTCTGATTTTTTTTTGCCAATACTCGAGGCGTTATTGCCTTTTTTTTTTTTTCTTAAACCAACTTTACTGTACAAAACTTTAATAACGTATAACACCAGGGCCAGCAGGTGATGTGATTAAGGCACTGGGTCTCACATGACTAACTTTGTGGTTCAAATCCTGGACCTGCAGCTTGAAAACACTCTGGGTGTGTATCTCTGCATGTCCAAAACCCTGAGAGAATGGAGGAAAAGGGGGTGCTTTCTCACTTTTCCTTTCTCTGGTGAACGCACACACAAGAATGGCAAAAATCTCAGTAACAATAATGTATAACATTTCTTTTAAAGAAGGAACAACATCTATACTGTATGTTATGAATAAGTCAATTGAAAGAGACCTGAGGCCCAATAAGTAAAAACAGAAAACCGGTGAAATAGAACATTTTATCAGTTTAAAAGTTTTTTAGTTCTGATTTTAATCAGAGCTAAAAATTTATCTGGAAGTCTGATGATAAAGAATAAAAAGTTACTCAAAATGCAAAGCAAAGAACTTGATTAATACCTAATTATCTTGATGAGCTCACTCATGTTGACATGGTCAGGTACCAGGAACTTGGTCTTGTCCAAGACGGGAAGCTGCTTCTCACCCTTGTACCGCTCTATTATCACCTAGAGAAGAGGCCAGCAGGGACTTACAAACAGTCATGAGCAGTGAGAACCACAAACTGCTTCCTGTGCTGAACTGCCACGTGCCGGCATGGGGTCTCCAAGAGCACGTGTAGTCTCCTCACCGCACTCCCGTGAAGAGTGCCATTTACTAGAAACCTTCTGCCTCCGCACCCCAGAGGAAATCTGACATATGAGAGAGAAAGCATGACTGTCTCAAGGCAAGCAGGTGGCTACGGCATGGGGAGACGCTTTGCCATATATGCTTTTGTTCTGGTTGCATTTGGAGCCATGAAATATGTACTCCCTACTCAGGAGAAGAGCCCGGGCTTCCAGGAATAGAAAGGCTGGCTCCTAGCTGAAAGTGCAACAGCTTAGAAACAACTGTCAGTTTTCTGCATCAAGGTGGGTATCCTAATGTAGGCAAGCGCATGTCTTAATGGCAAGCATGAGCAATCCTGGTAATATGCTCTGCACTGTTCTATAGCAGAGATTGTTTCTCTCTCTCAAGTGGCCAGAGAGGGTGTGCACCCGCCAGAGAGAGAGAGAGAGAGAGAGAGAGAGAGAGAGGGAGGGAGGGAGAGAGGAAGCCGGCACACCTAATGGGGTACAGTCACACTGAAATTCTTTCTTCACCACACTGTGGTGATTTGGGGAACACATGCTCTCACACCTTTTAATTTATTGAATTTTATTGATTCATTCCTTTAATTTGACCAGATAGAGACAGAGAGAGAGAGAAAGTGGGAAAGCAAGCCTCTAGGTCCAGGACTCGAACTGTGGTTGGCCATATGGGAGTGTCCGGCACCTTTAACTGCCACACTACCTGCTGGTCCCCACACCTAGTACATTTTTCATGCCACTGGGGCCAAGACTCAAAGCAGGATTGATGTGGGATTTGGCTCCCTTAACCACTAGGCTATGGAGCCATCTCAAGATTGCATCTCTAGTAAACATGAAAAAAATCTTAAGATTTCAAAAGGCAGGGCCCGCCAATTAGTGCGATGATTAAGGCAGCTGAATCCCACATGGTCAACTATACTGTCCGAGTCACATGCCTGGTGGCTTAAAAAACATTCCTGGAGGCCAGCAGGTGGTGTAGTGGTTATATTGCTGGATTCCCACATGGCTGACTGCTTAACCACTGTGCAACGAGGCCATCCCAGAGGGCAGCTTTAAAACTAGTATGCTGTCTAGGGACCAGCAGTTAGCGTAATGGCTATGTTGCTGGACTCCCACGTAGTCAACCGCGGGTCGAGTCCCGGACCTGGTGGCTTAAACTCATGCCGGGCACGTGTGCGTGTGTGCCCAAGATCCCGAGAGGAGAATGGAGGAGAAGGGATTGCGGCGTAGCCAGCCCCCCTGGGAGGTGATTTCTCGCTTTCTGTCTCTCTGTCTCTCTGGCGAGCGCATGCGCCCTGTAGCAAAAAACCTCTCAAAAAAACAAAACAAAACAAAAACAAAAACTAGGGAACCAGCAGTTAGCATAATGGCTATGTTGCTGGACTCCCACGTAGTCGACTGTGGTTCGCATCCTGGACCTGGTGGCTTAAAACTCACGCCAAAGTGTGTGCGTGTGTGCCCAAGATCCCGAGAGGAGAATGGAGGAGAAGGGATTGCGGCGTGACCATCCCCCCGGGGGGTGATTTCTCGCTTTCTGTCTCTATGTCTGTCTGTCTGGCGAGTGCACGCGCCCTATAGCGAAAACCTCTCCAAAAAAAACCCCAAAAAATACTAGTATGCTGTCTCAATAGTTATTAGTGTCTGATCTGAGAAAAACTGTTCAAAGTGTAATTTACAGTTTGGTCTAAGAATGAAGTCTATTTTGTTGCCAGTACTTGAGTCTGAATCCTGGTCCCAGTGGCTTGAAAATCATACCAGGCGTGTATGCATTCATGCCCAAATCCCAGGAGGAGAGCGGAGAAGGGATTGTGGCATGGTCATCTGCCCTGGGAGGTAGTTTCTCACTTCTCCGCTCACTGTCTGTCTGTCTCTCTGGCAAGCACACACAGCCTATGGCAAAAACCTCTTATAAAAAAGAAAGAAAGAAAGAAAGAAAAGCATACCTGGTGCATGTGTATGTACACCCCAAATCCCAAGAATGGAGAAGGGATTGCAGCACGGTTCCTCCCTCACCCAGGGGGTTGCTCTCTCTCTCTCTTTTTCTCTCTTTCTGTCTCCAGCAAGTGGGTTCAAGTCTCAGACTGGTGAGACAGCACACCTGCAAACCTGGTGAACATCGCTGAAGCCTGCCGGCCTTTCTGTAAGAAGCATGGTAAGCGCCAACCTCATAAAGTGACACAGTACAAAATGGGCAAGGATTCTCTGCACACTCAGGGAAAGCATTATGATAGGAAGCAGAGTGGTGACGGTGGACAGACGAAGCATATTTTTCCAGAAAAAGGTGAAGAAGGTCATGCTGAGACTTGAATGTGCTGAGCCCAGCTGCAGATCTCAGAGGGTGCTGGCTAAGAAGAGATGCAGGCACCCTGAACTAGGAGGAGATGAGAGGAGGGACCAAGTGACCCAGTTCTGAGCATCTCTTGTTCTATTATGAAGACGACAAAATTGTAAGGTGAATGTTCGCCTCATTTGATTATAGTTGGTCTTTTTATGAGGGAATAAAGTAAGCAATAAAATTCCCCTTGTGAGGAAATTTAATTCATGGTTAAAAGCAAAAAACACACCAGGTACATGTGCATGCATGTCCAAAACCCTTAGAGAAGACTGGAGGAGAAGGGACTGCAGCACAGCCACCCCCCTTGAGGGTGATTTCCCACTTTCCATCGCACTGTCCCTCCAGGCAGCACACATACCCTATGGCAAAAACAAAAAGGATGGGAAATCTTCACGTGTCTCTTCAGGAGAGAAAAATGCTGCATTGTAAGGGCTTACATAGCATCAGGGCCTTCTTCGCTAAGACAGCTTTGTCTGCTGGGCATGGCGGAAGAGTGATTATCCACGAGGAAACGGCAGTGCATAGATAGACTCCGCTGTTGTTTTTGTTTTTGTTTTTCTTAATTTCTGTTATAGGGCACGTGCACTGGCCAGACAGAGACAGAAAGCGAGAAACTATTCCCCCAGAAGGCATGGCCACGCCACAATCCTTTCTCCATTCTCCTCTCGGGATCTTGGGCGGGCACGCACGCATGCATACACACCTGGCATGAGTTTCAAATTGCCATGCCCTAGACTTGAACCACAGTCAAACACATGGGAGTTCAGCACCTTAACCACTATGCCACTGGATGGCCCCTCACTTGTCTGGTTTTCTGGTTAGTAGAAATCATGGTGACCAGCAGTTGACTTAATGGCTATGTCGCTGGACTCCCACGTAATCAACCACCGGTAAAGTCCCAGACCCAGTGGCTTAAACTCACGCTGAGCACGTGTGCGTGCCCAAGATCCCAAGAGGAGAATGGAGGAGAAGAGACTATAGCGTGGTCACCCCCCCGGGGGGGGATTTCCTACCTTCTGTCTCTCTGTCTCTGTCTTTCTGGCAGGCACACGTGCCCTATAGCAAAAAGAAAGAAAACTCTCCAAAAAAAAAAAAAGGCAAGAAATCATGGGGGGGCCAGCCTATGTCAGGTTGTTACACTACTAGACCCACTCATGGCCAAATGTGGTTACAGTCCCAGACCTGGTGGCTTGAAAACCATGCTGGGCAGGTGTGCATGTGTCCAAGATGTCAGGAAGAGAATGGAGAAGGGACTATGGTGTGGCCGTCTCTCTTGGAGAGGGGGTGGATGGGTTGATTTCTTACTTTCCCTATGTCTGTCTGTCTCTCTCTGGCAAGCACACGTGCCCTAAGGCAAAAATCCAAATAAAAAAAAGTGTTAGCAGAAATCAGAGGCAGTAAAGAAATCCTGGGGCCAGCTACTGGTGTGTTGGTTAAGGTGGCTGGATTCCACATGGTGGACTTTTGCATTTTGAGTCCCGGACCCAGCAGTTCAAGAAAAAACACACTGGGCTCATGTGTACACAAGCCCAAAATCCCGAGGGGAAAATAGAGAAGGGATCGCGGGGTGGCCATCCCCATGGAGGGTAATTTCTCACTTTCCCTTTCTGTAACTCTCTGTCTCTAGCAAGCACACATACCTTATAGTAAAACTTAAACCAAAAAAATAAATAAATAAAATAAAAGAGAGTGAGAGAAAGAAATCTTGGGTTCTTGGCCAAGGACACTCAGATGGTCAGAGAATAAGAAAAATGCAAGCCCTTAGAATCCTTTTAAAGGAACCAACAAGCAGCTGGGAAATGCTGAGTTACCGCCTTGGGGCATCTTCTACCCTCATCTGTTTTGAGTCCGGTCTGCTTTAGGAAGAGCTACTCTAGCAGGTCCTGCCTCATTACTGGCTAATTTCCATGAAAATGTCTATGAATGACTGGTTTACATTTCTTTTCTTAATTGTTAGTTATTTTTTTTCTTTTATAATTTGAGACAGATGTGTAACTCACTGAATAAGACATTTGGCTAGGTCTGAAAAGTGCCCTGTGGGATGTTTTCCTTAGGAAGTAAGAGCAGAGAATCAGCCAGCGGTATGGTGGTGAAGGCAACTGACTCCCACATGGACAACTATATGGAGGACCCGGCAGTTTGAAAAACATGCCAAGAGAATGTGTGTATATGTACAAAATCTCAAAAAGAGAAATGAAGGAGAAGAGACTGTGGTATGGTCACTCCCTGTAGGGGCTGCTTTCTCAATGCCCCCTCTAAATCTCTCTTTTTTTTTTTTCTTTTTGGAGAGGTTTTTGCCATAGGGCGCATGCTCTCACCAGACAGAGAGAGAGAGAGAGACAGAAAGTGAGAAATCACCCCCTGGGGGGATGGCCACGCCGCAATCCCTTCTCCTCCATTCTCCTCTTGGGATCCTGGGCATACACGCACACACGCCTGGCCTGAGTTTAAGCCACCAGGTCCAGGCCTCTAACTGCCGTTGGCCACATGGGAGTTCAGTGACATAGCCATTACGCTAACTGCTGGTCCCATAAATCTTTCTTTCTCTAGTGAGTGCACATATTCTCTAGCAAAAGAAAAAGAAAAAAGAAAAGTAGAAGCAGAGGAAAAGCCACCCTCGGGAAAGCCAGCCTAGAAAATGATCATCGAGCTGCATGTGGCTCAACAAGTGAGTACCTCTGAGAGTCTGGTCCTCAGACTTGCTCAGGAAGTAAATACGTCAATTTCTGCAAAGAACCTTAACTTACTAACAGGAAAGATGGTAGTCAGGGTACGCAGAGATTGAATTTTCCAAAGGAGGCCCTGCAACGAATCCCAGCAGGCTGTTGGGCTAGTTTGTTTCCAGTTTCTGGCATGTGCTAGCAAGTAGATAAAGCAGGTACTCAAAAGGTGAAGAAAAACGTAAAAGGAACTCCACCATGAGGACGAGCTGTGAAATGTCCAGCCCGTCTAGGGAAACAACACCGTCTCTGACTACAGAACCATGCAGCTGTGAAAATGCTCAACAGACCTCTCTCTCTTGTGTACCTTTAGCCTCAGTTCAGCCAGCACGGCAGCTCCACCCTCCAGTCTGTGGATATTCCCTCTGTCTTCTTAATTTAGGATAAACTGACTGGTCAGAAAGCCAAACATGAAACAGTCTATAGAACTCAGTAGGAAGGTTTCTTTCTAAGTGTTGGGTAAAATTAGCAAGAGGTATTATCAGCCAGATTAGGTGGTTACCATTTGCCTAGAGTTAGGCAAATCTCTGCAACAACCACAAGGGGTAAGTCCCTTCCCGTTTTACAGGTAAGGAAGCTGGAGTCAGAGTTTTAGTAGTGGGCCAGCAGGTGGTGCGGAGGTTAAGGCAACCAGATCCCATATGGCTGACTGTGTGGTTGGAGTCCCCAACCCGGCAGCTTAGAACCACACCAGGTGTGTGTGCATGCTCAAAATCTCCAGAAGACAGTAGAGGAGAGATTGTGGTGTGGCCATCCCCTCTGCAGGGTGAATTCTTTCTCTTTTCTTTCTGGTGAGTGCATGTGCCCTACAGCAAACAAACAAAAAGAATTTTAGTAACTAGTCCAGAGAAAGCCTGTTTAAGGTCCACCACCAAAGGATTTGGGCGAAGATACTGCTGGCTAGACATAGTAAAAAGTACGAGACCCTTACAAATGACAGGAAAAAAACAATGTCGTTTCTCCATTCCCTGTAAAAGAGCCAAATATAAGAGACTTCTGTGGAACATCAAAGGTCAGACAGCTTTGAATCTGCAGTCATGTTTAAATCCTGGGAGCTATTTCTCACAGTAGTTGTTGAGTGGTTATTTCTTGGGGCCGGCAGGTGGTGTGATCATTAAGGGTGCTGGACTCCCACATGGTCGACGATGGTTCGAGTCCTGGACTTATTGGCTTGCTTTCTCACCCCCCCTTCACTCTGCCCCTCTCTGGTCAAATTAAAAATAAATAAAATAAGAACAATTTTTAAAAATTAACAGACTCTTACAGCCCCCAGTTCTTTCCTCTCCAAATAATTACATTTGATTCGTTAAGTGTTTAACATTAACAGCAGGCAGCAAACTCAGACTCAGAAAAAAAGAATGTGATTAGATAACAAAACTATTGATTAAATAGTTTAACAGTAGGTAATAAATGTTCGAGGATCCCCGTAGAAATCCCTGCCAGGTGGATGAGTAACCAGTGCTCTTTCCCCTGTGTGTCCTGCGTTACTGAAACATAGCCTGAGACTACCTACCGGTATTTTGGTGGGATGCTGCTCTCGAATAAGTCGGACATCTTCTATTCTCTGTTCTGTAAGAAAAGGAAAAGACTATTAGCCAGACAGCTTTTTCCCTGCAGTTTTGCTGATGACTGCTTCATATCTGAATTTAGTTGTCCTTAGGAATGGAGTAACTATAAACACTGAAGACATCTTTCCTAGAACATAAAGTAACCAAACACCAATACTTTGGTATCTAAAACCAAGGCGACATACATGGAAACAAGGCAATCACATGCCTCTTCTTGGTGGAAGACCACCATACCAAGAGCACAGAAGTCCACTTAAAGAGACTGGAACCCCAGGTTTGCAGTCAGATACACTAAGCAGATTAACTGCTGATGATTCCCGATCTTCCCTCTAAAGACTCTTACCACCCATAACAATCCTGTCAACTTTTGTTAATGTTCTATAGTTTGTTAGACAAGCACAGTAATCCAGGATAAACTATAGATGGCTCAATTAATTTTTATCTTACCACTCTCACCTGTTTAATGATATGGTGCTTAAGAGAAAAGCTGCTCAACATAAAGAAACATGGAAAGAAAAGAACAGTTGCTCAGTGCCTAAAAGAAATCAAAGTTTAAAGCACAAAGTAGGGCCAGCCAGTGGCATAGTGGTTAAAGTGGCCGGATCCCATATGGCCAGCTGCACAGTTCAAGTCCCAGACCCAGACGCTCGAGAAACACACAGGTGCATGTGTGCATGTATGCCCAAAATCCCAAGGGGAGAAAAGGAAAAGAAGGGATTGTGGCATGGGAATCCCCCATGGAAGGAACTATCTCAATTTTGTTCTCTACTCCTCTCTTCAATGAGCACGTGTTCTCTAGCAAATTCAAAAAGTACAGGGCTAGCAGATGATGTAGAATTTAAGGTAGCTGGATTCCACATGGCCAACTGTACAGTGTGAAAATCAGACCTGGCAGCCTGGAAAATATTCTGGGCGTGGAGCCAGCAGGTGGCATGGTGGTTAAGGGACTGGACTCCCACTTGTTCAACCACAGTTCAAGTCCCAGACAGGTGGCTTGAAATATACCGGGAGTGTGTATATGAATGTCCAAAATCCTGAAAAGAGAAGGGATTGTGACATGGCCATCCCCCAGAATTATTTCATTTAATTTTAATTATTCATTCATTTATTTTAACTTGACCAGAGGCACAGAGAGAGAGCGAGAGAGAAAGAGAGAGAGAGAGAAAGTGAGAGAGAGAAAGTGAGAAGCAAGCCACCAGGGCCGAGATTCAAACCATGGTCAGCTATGTGGGAGTTCCAGAGCCTTAACCACCATGCTACCTGCTGGTCCCCAGTGGGGAGGGGGGGGGATTTCTTACTTTCCCTCTCTCTGTCTCTTTCTGGTGAGTGCATGTGCCTTATGGCAAAACCTAAAAAAGAAAAGCATGCCATGTGTTTCCATGAATGTCCCCAATCCTAAGAGTTCGAAGGACTGTGGCATGTCCATTCCCCTGGGGAGTGCTTTCTCTCTTTCTCTTTCTCCATCTGTCTGCAGTGAGTGCACATGCCTTATATCAAAAATTAAAAGAAACAAAAAAAAAAAGCACAAAGCCTATTGTTGAACACCTTTCTGAGAGAATCTCTAACCTTCCAGTTTATTATTTATCATACGGTGGGTAATCATCAAATCAAGGATATATTCACCTTTTTGCCCTTTTTTTTAATGTCTTAGGGTAAGTATGCTCGCTTTAGAGAAAGAGAATGAGGCAAAGCGAAAAATCATCCCGCAGGGGGCAGGGCCAGCAGGTGGCGTGGTGGTTGAGATGCTGGACACTCCCATGTGGGTGACCATGGTTAGAGTCCCAGACCTGTTGGCTTACTTTCTCACTTTCCCATGCTCTCTCTCTCTCTGTGTTTCTTTTCGGTCAAATTAAAATAAATGAATGAGCAAAAATTAAATAAATAATTCTTTAAAAAAAGAAACACCATTCCCTGGGGGAACAGCTATGTCACATCTCTTCTCCATTCTCCTTTTGGGGTTTTGGACATGCACAAAAAGGTACCTGGTATGATCTTCAATCCATGGGATCCAGGACTCGAACCACAGAGTCATCCATGTAGAATTCCGCACCTAAACACCACGCTACCTACTGGTCCAAACATATTCATCTTCTTCAACACTAAATATCACATTATGTTGTGCATATTCAGTAACAGTTCTACTAGTTTTCTGGAAGGAAGGAGGGAGTATATATTCCATTCTCAATATTTTTTGCTCTGCTGTGATACATGATTCCATAACCTATTCCACTTGTTTACATGCATTTTTGTGTTAGTCACCCCCCCACACACACCTTCCTTCTAATCTCCCTTTTAATATAATCACTCACTGTGCTGACCCTGTATACTAGTGGTTAATGGGCATGGCCAACCATAAGTTGAATCTCGACCCTGGCAGCTTGGAAAAACAGGCCAGGCACGTATGTGTGCAGCCCCCAAATCCGGATAGGATGGTGGGATTGTAGCATCCCCATTCCCATTGGTAATGCGTGTGTGTGTGAAGGTGCTTTCTCTTTTTCTTTCTGTCTCTCTCTAGCAAGTGCCAAGATCCCCTTGGCAATTAATAAATATACAAAAAGAAAAAAAAAAATCCAAGTACTTGCTTATATTTTCAACAACCATCCTAGGCTCCTTGGGCAATACAGGAAAATAAAACAAAGTCCAGTTTCCCATCACCTGATCATACAGCTGAAGACACATGTCATTTACAATGCAACATGTAAACATGTAATTTAGGTGGCATCACTGCCATCTTTAACCAAAAAATTAACAAAACCATCTTGGTTTACTATGGTAGGGTTTTTTCCTTGTGAATATATTATCAATATCGTGAAGATGGCTCTAGGAAAAAAAGATGCTATAACCTACATATATATATAAATGTATTCTCTTTCAAAATGTATGTACTGTCTTCACAAGTGTGGGGAAGGAAGAGACACCCTCAACAGAGTCTCATTACACCTTGAACTCTGTTGCCTCCAAGCCTTTTCACTGATCAAAATCAGATGCAACAAATGTGTTCAGGTCCACGTAGGACCTGAATCTCAGGACTTCTCATGTGGCTCCAATATCACATAGCAGCACCCTACCATGTACGACACTATAGCTGGGCCTAAATATGAAATTATCCCAGCACCATTGCCAATTTAATCTAGACTTTTAAAAATGTGAGTGTCGCTCTATAAAAACTATTGAGGGCTGGGACCAACAGGAGGCATGGTGGTTAAGGCACTGGACTTCCGCATGGCCTACCGTGTCTCAGCCCTGGAGGCTTGCTTTCTTTCTCCCTCTCCCTTCTCTGTCCCTCTCTGGTCAAATTTAATAATAATAATAATAATAAAATAAAATAACTCTTGAAAACAAAACCCACAATTATCAAGGGTCAGCTGGTGGTGTGGTAGTCAACACGGCTGGATCCCACATGGCTGCCTATGGATCTGAATCCTAGACCTGTGGCTTGAAAATATGCCAGGCATGTGTACAGGCATGCCCCAAATCCTGAGAGAATGGAGAAGGGATTGTAGTATGGCCATCCTCCCTGGGGGAGCATGTTCTCCCTCTCTCTCTCCCTCCGCAAATGCACATAGCCCTATAGCAAATGGAAAAGAAAACACAAAAACTATTATTAAAATAATTCCTGTGTTCAACTATACACAGGTTCTGTTTCTATTTTCCTAGTCAACATTTTAAAGTCAGTCTCTAAGAAAAATTATTACACATAAACATATTTGAGACTGACAAAGATTTTTGAATACATAGATTTCTACTAGTGTATATTCTCACTTTATAAATATGTACAAAGACAATGATAAATTCGGCTATTGTTAATGGAAAACTTAACCCAGTGACTTTCTTATTTTTTGAGCTCTTCTCTACTTCTAATCAGGGGTCTCACTAACCCTTCCATATCATGTCTCCTGGTGCTAAGACCTCTTCCTGTTGTCTGTCCTGCCCCAGGAAAGGTGCTGTGCCACTGAGCGTTTTCATGATAAAAACCTCGGACTGTCAGTGAAGGCTATTTCAGGGTCTGGGGTGGAGGCTTGGGGAGGGGATCACAATTTAATTAATTCTAGTAAATAAATAACTCTTTAATATATCTTGGAATGTTTCACCTTTAAAAGTTTATTCTGGGGCCAGCAGGTGGTGTGGTGTTAAGGCACTAGACTCTCATAAGGGCCAATCACAGTTCAAGCCTCAGACCTGGTTGCTTTAGGCTCATGCTGGGTGTGTGCGCGTGTGTAGCCAAAACCCTGAGAGGAGAGTGGAGAAAGGATTTGTGGTACGGTCATCCTCCCTGAGGGGTAATTTCTTACTTTCCCTCTCTTTCTCTGGCAAACACACACACCCCCTATGGCAAAAACCTTAAAAAAAAAATACGGTTTATTATAACAAATCTAAAAGTATAAACAGGGACCAGCAGATAGCACGCTGGTTATGTCGTTAGACTACCATGTAGCTGACCAGTCGAGTCCTGGACCCAGTGGTTTAAAACCCACACCAGGTGCATGTGGGTGTGTGCTCAAAATCCTGAGAGAATGGGGAAGAGACTGTGGTGTGGCCATCCCCCCTGGGGGTGATTGCTCACTTTCTAACTGTCGCCCCAGTAAGTGCACATACCCTATAGCAAAATCTTTTTCTAAACAAATAAACAAAAGTAGAAACATTCAAGCAAAGAAGGATAATTTTCATACGAGAAAACAGTTTTATTCTGGTAAATGAAGAAAACTAAATGCCTATAATGTGAGGTTCCAAAGTTAGAAACTATAGTGCTAAAGGTTATCATTATCCTGAGTTATCCTACAAAAAAGGTTCAAAGGGGAAAGACAGAAATAATCATTATTTTTCAAAATCTTAAGGGCAAGCAGGTAGTGTGGTGGTTGAGGCGTCTGGATCCCATATGGCTGACCACACAGCTGGAGTCTTGGACCTAGTGGCTAGAAAAACACGCTGGGCAAGTGTGAGTGCAAACCCAAAATCCCCGGGAGAAGGGAGAAGCGAGAAGCGAGAAGCGACCGTGACGTG